GAGCTGTAATCTCAGCACATGAGAGGCAATGACAGGAAGATGAGAGTTCAAGGTCATCCTTGGCTAAATAGAGAGTTCAAGGCCACCCTGACTCAAAATAAAAACAAAAATAAAGCAAACAAAAAACCTTTAAAATTTCAAATATGCCAGGCATAGGCCTTTAATCCCAGCACTTGGGAGGCATAGGCAAGTGGATCTTTGTGAGATCAAGACCAGCCTAGTCTACCATTATAGTGAATCTGTATAGCGAGTTCCAGGTCAGCTAGGGCTATAGGGAGGCCTCCATCTCAAAATAAAATAAAATCTCAAATACTAAAACGAGTAACTATGCACCAAGTACACAATTTATTACAGATTTCAGACAACATATAGATAGAATAATTACGATGAATCACTTCAAATTTAAAATGATTACGTTGAATTAAACTTCGTTTAACTATATAACCTCAAGACATTGCACATAAAATCTCAGGGGCTGGAGAGATGGCTCAGTGGTTAAGAGCATTGACCTTGCAGAGGACCTGGTTCCATTCCCAGCACCCACATGGCAGTTAACGACCATCTGTAACTCCAGTTCCAGAGGATTCGACACCCTCTTCTGACCACTGTGGGCACTGCACCACATGGTACACATATATATGCAGGCAACACACTCATACACATAAAATAAAATGTGAAAAAATAAAATTAAAAAAATTCTCAACTAGGCATAATGGCACACTCTAATCCAAGCAGCTGGGAACCAGAGACAGGCAGATCTTTGTGAGATTGAGGCCAGCCTGGTCTCCATAGCAAGTCCAGGCCATCTGGGGCTACAGGGAGACCTTATCTCAAACAGACCGAAAAAAAACCCAAAAAACCTTATACCACCTCTATTATCTGCTAGCCATTGTTAAGTGTCTACTATTTATTAAAGCATTTATTTTAAAGAGTCTACTGTTTTCTTTCAGTGTCATATGCAACTAAGAACAGAACAATTTGAGAAGTCATGAAAATGAGTCAGTGTGGTAGCAGCTACCACTGGATTTAGTGGATAAGCTTAGGTTGCAAATTACATCCTCAATACTCGAAGTACAACCCCCCCCAATGAGGATCTGTACTGCTGTTCTTTTATTATCTGTTACTCAATCTATTTTCTGATCATTAGCATTTTCTATTTCTAAAATTTCTGTTGTTCCTTTTAAAATGTTCTATGCCAAATTTTATAGTTTATAGTTCCTAGCATATTTTTCAGAATTCACTTTCAACTACCTGAATGTAGTCTTAATGTTTAAAGAAAAATATAATTTTAATTAATTATCTATATTTTTTTCCATGTGGATGTCTTTCTTCTCATTTTCCTCATAAATTTTTTGCTCCTATTGGATTAGGTTATCTTTAATTGAATTTTTTAAATTTTTCTAAAAATCATATATAGAAACAATTAGGTCCAAGTTTTTACTAAGAGCCAGGAGGGATAATGACCTGGATCAAATTAATCCCATTTTAGAGTAATGATTTTCCTAGGTAACTGAAATAACAAAGTCAGACAGCATTTCCTGCAGAGTCAACTTACTTCTGCCTCTACTTCATGAGTCCTAACCAACAAAAAGTCAGAGCTTCTCAGGCTTCACCCCCAGGGGCATTAGGCTACCTTCGGACCCTCTAAACTTACAGCTATCAAACATGCCTTTCAATGACCAGCAAAAAAGCCAAAATGCTGACAAGTGGTAGGTTCCCTTCCAGACACAACCATCCTCTTGTCTCTACTTAGTTAGCCCTCTCTGCCTCATTAACTCTTTAATGGTTTTAAGATGTTTAAAATTTTTTTAAAAACCAGCTTTTTAGTTGGTTTGAACAATGAACATTAGTTCAAATTAGTTAATGTACCATTAGAAAAACCAAAAGTTCACTCTTGATCTTTGGTCTTCTTTCCCCTGTATCTTTGGTAGGGTGATGATGATCTGTTACCAAAATGTATAGAGTGATGAATGAGATTTCTGTTCCCAATCCCTGATTGCTCTCTGGAGCTAAGAGTATTGAAATTCAGCTCTTATTGTTCTTATCTGGGATTTAATGGCAAATTGTGATAAAGAACCTCTCCACATGTCACCTTATACTACCCTACAGCAATTAAGTGACTATTTCTTAAACATAAACTTGGAATTGACTAAAAAAAAATAAACATTAACAATTGCCTCCTAACCTAAAGAAGAAAAAAAATTAAGAATTTGTGGAGGCAGGTGAGATGCCTCAGGAGGCAAAGGCACCTGTTGTTAAGCTTGATGATATAAATTCAATTCCCTGGACCCACAAAGTAGGAGAGAACAGACTCCTGCAAGTTGTCCTCTGACCTCCACAAGTATGCCATGGAATGTGAGCACCTAGAGAGAGAGAGGGAGAGAGAGAGAGAGAGAGAGAGAGAGAGAGAGAGAGAGAGAGAATCAGTCAGTCAGTCAATCAAATAAATTAATTTTAGGTTGCCAGCTCCTGTACGCAGCTGCAGTGAAGATGGCAACCTCTAGGTACTTGGAGCACTACTTCCTGTGAACTTGAGAGGAACTTCCAGCTGATGGGAGAGCTGGACCAGTGGACAGAAGAAAGCAGAGATCGACATCCTGGCCACAGAGTATATTTCCACCATGAAGACTCTCTCTTCAGCCCAGTGTGTAGAGAACCTGCAGAAGATCCAGAGGACCTACAGCAAGTGCAATGAGTACAGCAATGACCAAGTCCAACAGGCCATGCAGCCCTACATGATGATGGATGATAGAATATGTGAATTTCAGGAGAGCCATAAGCTTCATCAGAGGAGGCCATAAAGACATAAATACATACCTAAGAGTGGCTAACTGGCCCTAAATCAGCAGTCTGGCCTTGCCTAAACCTTATCAATCGGTCACTCCCTGGACTAAGAGAGACCTGTCTCCTTTAGGGCTATAGATAACTCACCTACCTGCCTGAGCATATAATCTTCAGAAAAGAGACCCTCAAGGACATCAGACCCTGACACAGAGTTAATTCTTGCAGCTGTGTGCAGCAGAGTTCTTATATCAAACCGACTGCTCCCAGTGCACAGATAATCATTCCCTGAAGAACAGCTATCAGCTCTTTGCTGAGCTTCCTGAATCTAGGTTGGATGTTCCTTGCCTGTTGCAGGTCTGACTATGACTCATTTCTAAACTTTAAACTCCTTCCTTTTTCTGTACTCCTAAATCTAACAGTGGACATGTCCAAAGACTTAATGCTGACCTGGTATGCTTTGAGGCCAACCTGAGGGACAAGATGGATGGCAATGATTTTGAAAGTGCTGGAATGTGAGGCTTCAAAAGGTTGGAGTTGGAAAGAAAAAAGAGGCTACCAGAGCAAGAGGAGTCCTCCCGAAGCAGGAAGTCTTCAGAAGAGGTTATTCCAAAGGAAAAAAAAAAAAAAGCATAAAGGCAGGTCTGAGTTCACTGACAGTATTCTATCTGTGCATCCTTCTGACATGCTGGACATGCTTGGAGACCCGAATGAGCCCACATACTACTTGTGCCACCAGGTGTCCTAAGGGAAGATGATCGGCTGTAACAATTCAGATTGTCCGATCAAGTGGTTTCACTTTGTGTGAATCTCACCACAATGCCTAAAGGAAAGTGGTTCTGTCCTCGTGTTCC